AAACCAAAAAAATGGATATTAATATTGGGTAGCTAAACTTAAGTACTTATAGACCAGTATAAGAAATGGCTTCCATTTTCTTTAGAGCAATGTTATGTCTATATCTATGTATAGATATATTTTTAAAATATGTTTTTATTGATTTTTTTTTTTTTTTAGAGGAAGGGAGAGATAGAAACATTGATGTGAGAGAAACATTGATCAGCCGCCTCCCACACGCCCCCTACTGGGGATCAAGCCCGCAATCCGGGCATGTGCTCCGACCGGGAATCAAACCGGGACCTCTCAGTCCATGGGACAACGCTCAATCCACTGAGCCACACTGGCCGGGCACTATATCTGTATTTTAAAATACATGTATCATTTTAGAAACCCAGAGGAGGGGTATAGAGTTGATAACTTAGCCCAGAATGGCTAGATGACTCCCAGAATAGATCTTTAAAAAATTTTTTTATTAAATTTATTGGAGCGACATTGGTTAATAAAATTATATAAGTTTCAGGTGAACGATTCATAATACATCATCTGTATATTGTATTATGTGTTCACCACCCCAAGTCAGGTCTCCTTCCATCACCGTTTTTTTTTTTCTTTGTAAGTATTCTGGGATTCAGGAGCGTCACAGGGAAAGAAAATGCAAGTTAATGGGAGAGGGCGTTATATGCTCAAGATCTTTAGAGAAGAGTGGGACCAAGGGCTAGAAACTGTTGGAATGAGGACAGAAGCAAGGTAAGGAGGCTTCTGATAAAATCACGCTTATCCCCAGACTCCCCTGGTTTCTCGCTAGACCCTTGAAGGAAACAGGCACACCTTGCTTGACTTCGTGTTTCCAGCCCCGGCTAGGTGTCTGCCGTTCAGTGTGGATAAATGATGGGCTCATAGGTGACAGGGACAACCAGGTCAGTGAAAAAAAGCCTGTGATCTGGAGCCAAGCAGGCCTGGGTCTGAATTCCAGCTTCGCTGCCCCCTTTCCTGTGGGACCTGGCACGTTGTTTCACTGACCGAGACTCTGCCTCCGGTACTGAAAAGCGGGGCACCTACTGCTGAGATTTCAGGGAGCCGGCACACACCCGTCTTTCACTCCTGAGTTCAGAACAGACGTGAGGGTGATTGATGGCAATGGAGGTGTCAGCTTCATTACTGATAACGGCAGTTGGAGATATGGCTTAAATCTATGGACAAAAGGTCTTACTACCTGCCCTGTGCTAAGCCAGTGGAAATGGCAGGAGGGGGATGCAGCTTACCCCCAGGTTTTAGGAGACCCGTCTGGGGAGAGACTGGCTCTGGGCGGGAATGACCGCCTGTCCCTTTCCTGGGCGTGCGCTGCGACATTAGGCTCTGGCTGAGCTCCTTATCTGAGCACCAGGGACAAGCTGTCCGCAGAGAAATGGCACCATTGCAAAGAGCTCACGTGTCATACGTGAGTCGGGAAGAGAATGACTGTAACTACTTGGGAAAGTTTCTGAGATTTCTGAGACCTGTGTACTTCCCCCCACAGCCCTTTGCTATTTTTATTGCCATCTGTCTGCTCGCCTATAATGATCAGCCAGAAAGCTCTTAAAATGGAAAGGATCTGTGTGCATATTTTTGGTGGCAACAAAGAAAACACTGAGGGGACTATTCCTGCCAAGCGGGTGAGGAGCCCGAGTGGACAGTGGGCTGCAGCATCTTGCAGGCTGCGTCTCGGGAGTCTGTGGAAAGAGAGCAAAAATGATGGGGTGGCAGAGTGGACCTGGGGGTGGGGACTTATAGGAAGTGAATTCAGGACGGAGAAATGACCAGGACAGTGTAATCTTAACAAGCAAGAACCCATGGAGTGAATGTAGCCAGATTAAAATGAATGCTTAAAGCAGCCAAGACATTTTTTGAATGCTTTCTAATTAAAAAAAAAATTTAAAAAAATCCAATAGCTCTTTTTAGCAACTTATCTACAGATAATTTAATTTGGGTCAGATTCTTGGATCAAGTGAATTGAAAAAGGTGGAAATTAATCCATAAGTCTTAGCTGTTGGAAAGTGAACAGGATTTGTGAGGTGTTTGACAATACTCCCATATACATTAGTTTTTCCTAGATATTTTCACTGCTGGTATGTCATTTCAAGAGTCGCAATTAAGAATGGAAAACATTGCCCCCAACCCCTTCAACCGCGGCCCAGAATCTGCTGAAACTGGCAGGGTAAACATTTCACCCAAATATAAACCTTTCAGTGATTAAACTAATTTACTCTGTTCAAACTGTGACATCCTGTTTATAAGAAAGAAGACTTATAAAAAGTCATCTTGAGCTTGAACCCACTTCTAAAATCAACATCTTGGTGAATTTAAGTGTTAAGTGAGTCACAACTATTTGGATGAAGATTTTCTGGTTTTGAAAGAGAAAGTACTTGGAAAAAATGTCATTTTGGTTTTATTGAAATGGAAACATTTGAAAAATAGAATTCGCTAGCGAGCCTATCATATAACAAGTTTCCACACACATTTCTTCAGTCACTTCTGTGAATCCGTGGAGCTGAGTCTCCCAGGGGCCAAGTCAACCATCATGAGATGCATTTAGCCTCCATAATCCTTCCCAGAAATGCCTTAAAAAAAAAAAAAAAAACACTGCACAAGGTAAAACATTTTCATCATATTTTGCCGGTTATGTTATTTACTTTGAAACTCTATTCTTAAAACTTCTTGTCTCAAACAAAAGCTGAAGTTAACATTATTTGCCTGATAGAAAAATGGTCTCTTGTTACCCTGACCCTTTAATACTTGAGAATGTCATGTCAGGCAATTCAAAGTCTAATTTATATAGAGGAATGTTACAGCCAAATTTTTATATTTGATTTTTAAAAAAATCTTCACCCAAGGATATGTTTCCATTGACTTTTAGAGAAGAAGGGGGAGGGGTGGGGAACATCGATGTGAGAGAAACATCAATCGGTTGCCTCCTGCACGTGCCCCGAGAAGGGATTGAACCCAAAACCTGGGTATGTGCCCTGACTGGGAATCAAACCCACGACACTTTGGTACAATGGGGTGACGCTTCAACCAACCAAACCACACTGGCCAATGGGATTATATTTGATTTTTAATATATACTGGCTACTTAGTAGCTGTTCTTATGATTGTATGGGTTGAATTTTGAGAATTGAGTACATCCATGGCCCCTGTTTAAACATCCCAGTATCTTTGCTGTTGATCCTAAAATCCTTATCCCCTGCTCTGCCCTGTTAGAGCTGTATTTAGGGAGCCTACTGGGCATCTCCACCTGTTGTGCCTCAAGCTCATCAAACCTGTCATGGCCCAGTGTAAACTAGTTCTCTCTTTTCTCAGTCACTGTTCCCCTGTGTTTCCTGGCCAGTTGCCGGTGCCATCTCCCACGTGAGAGTCTCTGGTCATTCTAGGGCCTTTCACTTATCACACCAGCTAACTGGTCGTCGATGCCCGATGATTCTGCCTCCAAAATGCCTCTTTTTCTATTCCAGCCCCAGCTCAGGCACAATAATTTCTTAGCTTGTTCAGGACAAAAATTTCTAATGGGCTTCCCTGTCGGCCCTTCGTTTCTGCCACTCGATCCGTCTGTGCATGTAGCCAACCAGGAGCATAGGACTTACCTGCGTGTCCACTTGTACCTACTCCTTGTCGCCACAGGAGCCAGTCCTTCCAACCTGACACAGTTTACCTGTTCTAGATGATTCTCTTCTACCCATCTGCTCCCTAGCACTCATCCATATGTAGCGTTAGCCACTACTAAAAGTTTTGAGGATACTATACATTTCCACTTAACCTTTTCTCTGTTTTGATCCTCATCACTTAAGATCCACTTTCTGTCTTCTCACCTTCCTCATTCCAGACATAAAAATCCTGCCCGGCTGGTGTGGCTCAGTGGATTGAGCATCGTCCCATGGCCTGAGAGGTCCCAGTTCGATTCCCTGGCAGGGCACATGCCCAGGTTTCAAGCTTGATCCCCAGTAGGGGGCGTGCAGGAGGCGGCTGATCATGTTTCCCTCCCACATTAATGTTTCTTTCTCTCTCTCTTAAAAAAAATCAATTAAAAAAATTTTTTTAAAGAAAATCCTTTCTTCTGTGTCTTCTCCTAGCACGATTTTATTCTCTCCCACTGTCCCTGGATATACCCCACTATGGTTATGTCTGTGTGAGGCTTTCTCAGGCTAAGTTACGAATTTCTCAAGAGAGAGCTTGTTTTCACTGCTTGTGAAAAAGTCACTGCTCATGTGTGGGATTTAATAAGGGCCCATTAATCTGTTCTGAAGGAGGGATGTGTTGGACTGTATTCATATTCTCACAGGTGCAGTTATTGTACCAAATGGATGGAGAAGATCAGAAGAAAACAAAAGAGTTCCTTTGCTGATTTTTTTTCTTGAGACCTAGAGATTTAAATTTATGACAAACATGGGAATTTCAATAGAGACTAGAGAATGGCAGTCACCTGCAAATTATGCTTTAAATGAGACCTACCAAGGCATTGTCTCTGCAATTTGTTATCAATTTATTGTATTGATGCGTTTAAAATAAGAACTACTCTCTGTCCAGGCTGGCATTGAATTGATTGATTAGTATGTCCCGATTGGTTAGTATGAATTGGTTGGCAATAAGGTAAATTTACTCAGTGAAAGGCATACCAAAAAAGTGTCATCTCTGGCTTCTACTTGTTAAAGTAGAGGTGGAAAGACAGCTTGCAGTCAAGTGCTAGACTTAATTATAAGACACATTGTAATAAGTGAAAAAGAAACAAGGAGCAAGAGAAACTCATTATGGCCCAGGGAATTAATGAAATGTTTCATTAAGTACTTATTTAACAGGTTCTTGAAAAGTAGATAAGGATTACCTGGGGGAAAAGGAGAAATTTTAGATGAAAAAAAGAACACGGATCAATGGACAAGCTTGCTATGGTTTATAAGCCAAAATTCAGTCAGTAATTTTAGCAAATTCCTAAATGGTTGATGTTTAGGAATTTAAAGATTTTTTGTTCTACTTTGTTTTCTTTGTCACAGGTGGATCAGATATTGAATATCTAGACTTCTACAAGCCGGTGGTGTGGTTTTGGATCCTTGTAGGGCTGGCTTACTTTGCTGCGGTCCTGAGCATGATTGGAGACTGGCTCCGGGTGATATCGAAAAAGACCAAGGAAGAGGTGAGAATTCAGAAGTTTGCAAAAACACTTCTATTTCGCTAATTTAATAAAAGTTAAACACATTTTTTTCCATTTATTAAAATAGTATTTAGACATTATTTAATTTTAAATATTTCTGTTTGGTATGAATTTGTTGTACAAGGCTATCATATGAATTATAATTCATTCACTTACCAAATGCTAGACACGTCTATGTTCCAGATGCTATCTAAGTGCTTAGGGGAATTTGTAATAAAAAAAACAAGATGCAATTAAATTTTTTTGTTATTTCCTTTTTTTTCCCCTCAAAGAAACAAAGTCAATTTTATTCTGTAAAATACCATAGAAAATATCTGTGTCAAGATATCAGTAATATGAAAAAATGAATGCATTACATAATATTGAAGTTAGTCAATATCCTGTCTTATTATGTTTACATAAATGTGTGCTGGTCCAGCTGCGTACATAAATATGTATGCCTCAGAGCTGTACGCTTTATGGCCAATTTCCTTCCATTCAAATTTCAGATGCTCAAAAAGAAATCCTTTGACCTATTTCGAACAATTGTATATATAGAATTGGACATGAGAATTTTGGCTCATGACATTTTGGAAAATTTAAAGTTAAATCTGAGTTTGAAATGTTATGGTTTCGAAATTAAATTTTGATTTCATATTTTTAGGCAGAAGTACTGTGTTAGTGTGAGTGTGCTAGAGTAGTGTTTTATTATGAATTTTGTATTTTTTGCTTCTAGGTCTTTGCCAACTTCACTAATTTTTTTTTTTCAGACAAGTCTATGAAACCTGCCCCTCGAATGCCCATTGTCTTCCTTTAAGTGTCCTCTCCATTTCATGGTCTGCTGTTCAAGGGCCAAGACCACTAGTGTCAACATCTTTGATTAATATAAACACCGTTCTTTACACGTATACCCAAGAGAAACAGAATCAAATAGGGAATGATAAAATAATGACTCCTCACAAACAAATGATTTTATTTGCAACTCCTCAAGTCACATCCTTTCTTATGAATACTGAAGGTACCTATGGTAATTAGAAAGAGTGTAACTTACCCAGTGTAACTTACCTGGGTAAGTTACATACTTCTCAGTCAGGAATTCACATGTTCAGTCCGTTTACATTCACCTATATCTTAGTTGCACCATGAAACCAAAATCTTTTTATTATAAACAAATCAGCAAGACGATATGCTTGACATTCTAATTTAAATCATGTGAAAAGTTCTGCTTTGTACAGAACTCCAACTGTTTGCCTTAGTTTTAGACAGGCTCAGTGTGTGTGAGGGGTGGGGGAGAGAATTGTGGTTATTTTCACTATAATGTATTTTTAATGTACTTTAAAGGATCTTGAGATGCTAAGGGAAAAACCAAATTTGAAATAGGAACTATTTTAGATGACATAGTTAAAAAAAGAACTTCTCAAACATCTAGCCCTAAACTGGCTTTCTTTCAAATGGATTTTTAAAAACACGTGCATGCTTGCCCAGCTGGTGTGGCTCAGTGGCTTGAGCATCATCCCATGGACTGAGAGGTCCCAATTCGATTCCCCAGTAGGGCACATGCCTGGGTTTCTGGCTTGTTCCCCTGTGGGGGGCGTGCAGGAGGCAGTTGATCAATGTTACCTCTTTCACATCGATGTTTCTGTCTCTTTCCCTTTCTCACTCTCTAAAAAAAATCAACAAAAACATATTTTTTAAAAAGTATTAAAAACACCCACATGCATTTATCTTTAAATGAAACAGAACTGAACAGACTATATCTCTCATAGATCATTACGGAAAATATTATTTTGTGAAATATATATTACACAAATATATACATATTATCAACATGCTACATACTATCCACCTACATGCATATGTGCATACTAATATTACTATGGATCACAGTTTGCAAGCCACCAAGGCACATAAAGAACGGGAGGAAAATTTCTCTGCATTGCATTGGTCTATTTAGTTGAATATTAAAGAATATTTGGTGAAAGTTTTCAAAGCTGCCTGTTAAAACCAGTGCTCTGGAGCTGGGACTCCCTGGTACAGAGCATCAGCACACTTCCCTGAGTAATGAGGTAACCATCTGGACGCGCTCGGGCCGCCGGAGCCAAACGCCACAGACTGGGTGGCTTAAATAACAGAAATTGATTTTCTCACAATTCAGGAAGCTGGAGGTGCCAGCAGGGTTGGGTTCTGGGAGGTCTCTCTCCTCGGCTTGCAGATGGTGCCTTCTCTCCCTGTCCCCGTGTGGCCTTTCCTCTGTGCGCGTGCGTGGGGAGAGGGAACTCTGGTGACTCTCCTGTTCCCATAAGGACACCAGAGCTACTGGAGTAGGGCTCCACCCTATGACCTCGTGTAACCTCATCATCTCCAGACACCGTCACATGGGATGGGGGGCGGTCAGGGCTTCAACATATGACTTTGAGGAGAATACAGTTCAGGCCATAACACCAGTCTTTGAAATAAACTTCAATTTCTACATTAATTGGTGCATTTAATATGAAAAGCAAGTTTGTATGCCTGCTCATGAGTGATCTTCATGATGCCCCGCCAGAAGTTGGAGATGTATCTCTGTGTTTTCATGCTCTTAGACACTGAGAAGCAGTAAAGTATTTTTCTTTTTCCTTTTGGCCTCTACCTAGCCTTGTGAGGAGCATGTCCCGTCTGGTGGCTGCCTGTGTAGGAAGCTCATGTGAATGAGGGCCGTGAGCGAGGCCCTGAGCCCTCTGGGGCCGCAGCTGCTCCGGACAGTTGCGCCAGATGAGATGGAACCGTCCACTGGAGCAGATGTGTGTTTCCTCATTTCAAAGGCAGTTTAGGGAAGTCACAAAAGCAGCTCACAAATGCAACAGAAAATGCAAAGAAAGAAAGGGAAAGACAATTTATAATTTATAGATGATCAGGACCAAAGTCTTGATCAATGAAATACTACTCGAATTTCTATAGCACTGGGAAAAAGGTTATTAGATCATTTCCACTGTGAAATAGCACACAAAAGGGCGTAATTAAATAGAAACCAAAGAAATGCGTCCTGGTCGTCATCTTTACGTAGGTGAACCAAGCCACGTGACTGTTCAGTGTGTATTCTACCTTCTAACCTGTATCGTTCCAGACACGCCAACTTTTAAACACTTTCTAAGTGTTCCGAAGCAACGAGATTATTTTTAGTGTTCAATTTTGATGAATGAAATTGATAAATAATTTCGATAAATTGGAATATTCCCTAATAAAAAGTAAAACTCATACAGAATATAAAAAATACAAAGTAATATAGAGCATCAAATTTCCAGTTGAAAATGCTAAGACATATGCTTTTCTTGAATAAAATATTTGGACAAATGATAAACTCCATTGTTACCTGAGCTTTTAAAGACAATCTTATAACAAATAAATTGTTATATTTAAAAAAAATACAAAGTATATGATTTATTGCTTAAGTATGAGCACATAGTGCTAATCATATGTGGTCTTATTTCTGTTTTTTATGTTAAAATATATTCTGTTTCCAGTGAAGACCAATTTTAATGAAAATATTGTGTTTAGAATGAAGGAGAAATAGCTTTTGATGATCATGCTGAAATAGACCATGTTGGTCTGGCTAATCCCCCTGAAATAGCTGGAGAGGAGATGGAGAGTGGGAACACCACCGTCTGACTTTTGAAGTGTTGCATACGATTACAGTTGATATGCATTCCTCAAGGAAAATAGTAACGACCTCAATGATGTTTCCATGGAGACATACTACTTTCTGTAGAAGCATTTGTTTTATTATTTTTAAATCTCGAAAGGAGAGTAGGTCCACGTTCAACACTAAGAATTGCTGTGACTAATTATCATTTTCTAAAGCCATGTACCGCCCTCCAAGGAATTGATGTTCCCACTTAGAAGATAAAGATTATTTAGGCGTTCTGGATAATACACTAATACTAATCCCTGAGGCGGGTGTAATAAAGATAAGATGTGTCACAAAATTCCGAAGGTGGTTTCCAACAAGCGGGGACCGGTGTCTCCTTATCAGAAACGTGGTGCAGGTTGCTGCTGTTGCCAGGTGGGAAGGCCTGGATTTCTGTAGTTCTTGAATTGATGTACATGTACCACAGTGTTTGGACTCCTCCTGTCCATTTGTGAGACAAACACCACCTCAGCCAAGCATCACTTCCGACCAGTATCATTGCCTTCACCTGCAGGTGTTCATGCACACGGAGATGCTCACTTTAGAAAGTTGACCTTACATCGTATTAAGAAAACTCCCTTTGATTGTGAAGCACTAGTGCCAAGAATTTATATTTGAAAGACTGTTTCCAGAATTTGTATTTGGCCCCGACATTATGCAGGCACCTGAGACTGTAGAGGAATATGGTTTTCTTCTGCTGGTTCCCTGGGGAGAGACCATAGGGTCTTCTCCGAGCAACGCTAGGGCTTGGTGGCTCTTTAGCTTGTTTGGAGATGGGCAAGGAAGAGGAGTTGCACTCTGGGCCCTGGAGCACTTTATCATCATTTCTTATGGGAGAAGTGCTTTTAATATGAAAAGCTTTAGAGGCTATTTGAAATAAGACTTTATTCTGAGAGCCCTGGGGAGCCATTGAAGGAAGTTAAGTATGGGGAACGAATGGTCTTGTCCGCAGTGAAGGAGACGGCTTGGAACGAGGCTGGATGTGGGAAGTCCGTGGGGAAAGATTATTGCATAGAATGCAGGTCTGTTACCTTATTACAGCGGCAGAGAGATGACAGGAGGGATTTCAAAAGGATTTGAGAGACAGATGGAAGAGGACTTGGTAATTCATTAGCTATGGGCAGTCAAGAGAAAGGGAGGGTATGTATGATTCTAGCTTTCGGTGTCATTAAAACACGGGAAGAGGAGAGATTCTGGACATGATTTAATTGATGGATGTGTTGGACATCCCGATGGTGTCCAATTCCAGTGTAGATGATGGATAAGCATGCCTGGAATGTCAGAAGGATGGGAGATGGAGAGACAGTTTGGGGGCCCCGGGTGGTCATGACATCCATGA